TGGGATCCATTTTAAAAGGGGATCACACATTTCAACAGGGAACAACAGGGTCCCAGCATAGAGGCAACTGACCAAGGAGGCGACAAGGACGGGCCTAACAACTCAGTGTTTTTGCATATGGAGTTCTCAGGAGCAGCGCTCTCGGCTCTCAAGCTGAGGCAGGCCCTCAAAGCACAAACTGGGAGCGATAGGCTCATAGCTAACCCTCGCAGTGAGGGGAGCACTTCTCAGCTTGACCAGAAGGCAGCGCTAGATTAGAAGGGGCAGTATAGCAGGGCCCAATGAGAGACCGTCAACTGATGCAGCTGAATGCAGTCTTATGCTCTCTATCTCGAGAGCATGGGTCCCATTTAACCAGACCTGAAGAGAACCTGTAGAAACAACGGGACCCAATAACCCATTCATGCATACAGAGCTACTGCTCCTCCGAACCAAAGCACTCAGGTAGGGTTTCCACAGAAACACATCTCACTCGTACCTCAGGGAACGCAGTGTACTCAAGCCTTCTCCGCAGAGAGGCAATTTACTGGTTCGACCATAAGGGCAGTGTGACAGGAAGGTCCCGTGGGCCTGACCGTCTATCGATCTGCAGAGTGGAGTTAAGGAGTGTTAAGCCACTCAACGCCTCAGCGAGAGGAGCTCTAGCTCAGAGAATGTGCATGATGGTTAAGGAATGACTCAAATCTCAGGAGACCCCTCAGGGTGAGAAATGAGTAGCACCACCCTGGCCAGAGGATAGGGAGCATGTCACGAAGCATGTACTCAGAAGAGTACTAGCCCACGAGAAGGACCCGCAGGTCCTGAGGTTGCAGTGTTATACTGGGGACCTGATGCGGTGAGGCTTCCTCAGAAGCCCAGGCTGCGTGTCCAAGCCGAAGATCAGGGCTATCACCAGCCTGGAACCAGAACCGATGAGTGAAACCATCACTGTAATCGGTCAACAGCAGGAGTTCCTGACTTAGCAGGTGGGTCAAACCTAAAAGTCAGAAAAACAGAACAGGTTCGAGTAGCGCTGCAGAGAAAGGCTAGCATCAAATACACAAGAACTAGCAGTAGAGTAGATAAAAATGTATCGTACTCACCAACCATGACTCATGCTCATGATATAGGCTGGAGGCGAAGTCCGAAGCCTGGGTTGAGAGGATGACTCAAATCTCAGGAGACCCCTCGGGGTGAGGCATGAGTAGCGCGTCCTGGCCGGGGCACACCCAAACACCAAGCCAGTACATCAGGGAGCATGTCACAAAGCATTATACTCTGAAAAATACTCAACCTGAATGGAGGACCCGCGGGTCCTGAGGTTGCAGCGTCATACTGGCGACCTGATGGCTAAGGAGGCTCTCGCAGAAGCCCAACGACTTGGCTGCGTGGTCCAGTAAGCATGAAGCCGAAGATGTAAGGCTATCATCCAGCCTGGATCCAGTACCGACGGGTGAGACCATCACCATCCTAACCCTAAAACAAAGTCAGAAAAACAGAGACAGGTCCAAGTAGCGCTGCGGAGAAAGCTAGTTAGTGAATTCACATAAAATTAGCAATAGAGTAGATGAAATGGATCAAACTCACCAACCATGACTCCCGTGCATGACTCAAGCTCACGGATATAAACTGAAGGTGAACTCCGAAGAGCGCTTGGGTCCGGACCCTAGTAGGTAGTTCTATGAAACATAAAAACTTAACAAAAACACTATAGGTCCAGCATGAGAGACTGCAATGCAAGCGCAGGAGGGGAATCAAGCCGGAGTGCAGTATAATGTGGTTATCTGATAAGGACATGAAATAAATCATCTATCCAACAACTGCCAACAGATAGCCACATTATACACTTCCTATATAAACAGAAGGAAATTACTGATAGGGAAAAAATGTCCAGTCAGGTCCTTTCCATGTTCTGCCCATCAACTGCGAATCGCGGCAATGGGCAGACAATTCTCACCGCAACGCGCAGCATGCATTTAGCTCCCACGGGAGCCTATAGTAACAATGTTATGTAATGTAATGTAATAATGTTGCAATGGTTTCTTAAGATCTACTTATGCTTCTGATGCTTTTGAGAAACGCAGCCCTATTTGAGCAAGCACTCTGAGCCATGCGTCAGCAGCGAACGCTGTCTGTGATTGATTGGGTCTGTCTTTCAGCATTTGCGTGTGTTCCGATGAGCAGGAGAAAGGGTTCTATCCAACACAATTATTCGCTAATATAGTCTATTTTTCCACTTAGAAGCTTATTTTATGCACCGAATTTCTTGATAAATAAAATTAATGGTTAAAAAATGCACTTTAGAAACGATATTTTTATGTGAGGATCGATCCTTTCGATACACCATCAGTTTCGAAAGTATCGATACGTAAGGATCGATCCGCCCATCCCTTCAATCCAACGCTCTCCATTGACTTTCTATTGCGGGAAGCTGCCTCCTTGTCATTTCTGACTTATAACAAAAAACAGAGCAATGCCTAAAAGCTGCTATGTGACAGGTGTACAGTAAACAAGCTAAAAAACAACAACTAGGTTTTCATAAGCTGTCGACCCAAAAAACAAGCGTTTAGGACACAAAAGTAGAGCGCAACGTGTCATATTACTCTGAGAACTGCGCCCACTGGAGGGAAACGTAATCGGCAACAAGACCATTCATTATTTTTTTACCATGTCAAAGGATTATTTCACCACCCTATGTGAATCTGAGAGAAAGAGATATATTAAGAAACTACATTTTATTGGTCTATGTCAGTGCCCCTTTTCCTAACCTTCCTTTTAGCCGCTTTTCCACTGTAATTACCTGGAACAATTTGTCCCAGAAACTTTTTTCCCCCCAGACCTGTTGCTGTCTGCGTTTCCATCGCGGTCTAAGTACCGTGAAGCAGTGGTTCTCAAACTTTTTACAGCAGCGTACCCCCTGGGGCATTTAACATTCTTCTGTGTACCCCCTCTCTTTCACTTAGACCGCAGTCACACATTTTCTATTAAAAGACAATATTTGCCCCCTTAAATTGATTTACAGGTGCATTTTGTTACTTTATTGAGGCAAATATTTTCTAACCTTATTAATTGTATGTCATGTTTTATGTCATATTCTTAACATTCCATTAAGTGTATTATTAATATAATAAATAAATAAAGCAATAAATGATGGCAAATCGAAATGATATTTGTAGATTTAAAAATAAAACCGCCAATAGGTGGCGGCAAGTCACTGTCGTAATTAGCCAGGCGTCGCGTCATTCATTCATTCATTCAGGAATGAAGCAAAATGCTGTAGTTTTGAATGGGTTGTTAATCACTGAATCTCCAAATCGTTCAAAGCTGCATTCGTTCACTAATGAAACCGCTGTATGTTGCTTGGAGACGCACACATACAGATTTCGTTGGAACTATTATTTCATTGCAAAATAGAACAAACATGACAATATTCTGTTTAAAATGTAGGCTACATTTAAAATGTAAAATGTTCACTTAATATTACCTTTTTTTGTTGAACTGTTGTAAAAAATTAATGGCACATTTGCCATCGTTTGGATATTCAGGGAAATTTGCATTCTTGCTCGTATCTTGAAAACAATAACACGTACAGAGTGTGTCTGTATCGAAGAGAGTTTTAATCGATCTCAGTCCGTGTCAATATTTGCTCTTCATGCTATTAAGTGAAGATCTACTTTATACATTGAACAGCAGCGTGATTTGCTAAAGCAGCATATTCAGCTGGCATCCTATCACATGCACGCTGCTTGTGTGGATGCAGTCAGTTTTGACCGCAAAAGATGAGGTAAGCTGATTGGATATCGTGTATTTGACCGTTTACGGCACTCCCATTTTCCTTTTTTTATATTAAAAGCGGCATTTTGCTTGTCAGAAATACATGTTCGGTTTCAATGTTACTTTAAGTTGGGGTAGAATTAAATGAATGCCAAAACTCAGAATTTTGTTCGCGAACCCCCCTCCGTCATCTCGGGGTACGCGTACCCCAGTTTAGCCGCTTTTCCACCGAAATTACCTGGAACAATTTGTAAAGTGACCCTTTACAGATTCGAATGGTGTATTACTTTTATGTGTACAAACAAAAATGAATGAGGATTTTTAGTTCTTTTTGCTCTTATCAGGAAAATATGCAAGTGGTTGCGCCGGCTCCACTGTTGACCCCAGGAGGTTAATCCCCCAACAAAGACTCACAGGCAGGAACACACACGTAGAACGGGGAATTGACGTATAACACCGGACACAGAAACCAGGAACAGACACCACTATATACATGACTAAACGAGGATAATTACTAAGACACACCTGAAATCAATGAACACAATCAACACGAGGGAGAAACTGGGTCACAGGGAGCATATAGGGAGCAAAACACAACAAAACAGGGCTGACAAGTATATTCTGCAGTTCTTCCCTGCTGTACCGAATATCTATACTTTTCAAAGTATCATATTGAAGTTTGAAATTCAAGTATTGTGACAAAATAAATTTTGTAGGGTGCCACAAATTTGTTAAAATTTCCAAAGTGTGCCGTGACTAAAAAAAAGGTTGGGAAACATTTTATTAGACTATAATGTGACAGTCACCATCAGGGCTAAAAGGAAATGAAAGCAGAATGTGTTAAAAGATACAGTATATGTTAAAGGAGATATATTTTAAAGGTTGTAATTAACGGAGCATCAATTAATCATAAACATGTCAGAAATCAAAACAGAAACCTTGCTTTTGGCTATTCTCCGGGGATAATCTTGAGGCAGTTTATGAGAAGAATTCATTTTGTAACCCATCTACATTCCAGACTTCTGATCTGATGGAAGGGAAAAAACGAAATCCTTCAGATTTGTACAAAAGTTCATGGCAAGCAGAGATCAACATAGAGAAGGGCTGTCAGCGAGTTCTTTATTTTAAATTAAAATCAGTTAGTGCTTGTGATACAGTCTCAAATTTTTTTTTAGAATTTTTTTTTCAGCAGGTCTTTGTCGACAGGACTACATCAGACTGCATCATCTAAATGAACTTATCCAGCTATGTGGTGTTCAAGGAAGACTGTGATTCTGCTTGCATTGGTGTCCATACCAATTCAATACACAGTGATGAAGATTTTCATAGATTTTTATGTTCATAAATGTCTGTTTCCTAACTTTTTGAACTGTGGCTTGGGACAGGATGTAAAGTCCTTCGATTGGATGTGTGATGAGTACCCGTATTTTAGTTGCAATTCCTCCAGGAAGACTAACATTCTCATCTTGGCGACCCCACGCAGTGGCTCCTCTTTCTTTGGACAGTTGTTCAACCAGCACTCAGATGTTTTCTATCTTTTTGAACCACTGTATCATGTCCAAATTATCTTAATGCCTCACGCTACTCCCCGCAGATGTGCTGTTGAGCACAGGTTGATGCTGGAAGCCAGTCGTGACCTTCTTAGAAGCTTGTACAACTGCGACTTTTATTTCTTAGAGAGTTACATCATGCCGCGGCCGGCAAACCATACCACGGACAAACTGTTTCGACGAGGAGCCAGCAAAGCCCTCTGCTCTATGCCGGTCTGTGATGCTTTCAGCCCCAGCGATGGCAATATAGAAGAGGGGGATTGTGTTCGAAAGTGTGCCTCCCTTAACTTGACCCTCGCTACCGAATCATGTCGGGAAAAACAACATGTGGCCATTAAAACAGTGCGTATTCCAGAGCTCAGTGATCTTAAAGCACTGATCAAGGACCCTCGGCTTAATCTGAAAGTTATCCAGCTGGTGAGAGACCCGTGTGGGATTTTATCTTCTAGGATTGAAACCTTTCATGACACATACTGCCTTTGGCAGATCTGGAGAGACACGGGTCGTAAACCTTACAACTTGGATGTGACTTATCTCACGACAATGTGTACTGACTTTCTGAACTCTGTGTCCACTGGCTTGAGCCGACCGCCATGGCTTCATGGATGGTACATGCTGGTGAGATACGAGGACCTGGCCAGGAATCCACTCCAAAAATCCAAGGAGGTTTATAAATTTCTTGGTCTTTCTATGGAAAGAAATGTGGTGGACTGGATTCATAACAACACAGAAGGCAATAACAACGAGTCAGCAGTGCATAAGTACGGCACGTTGAGAGACTCGGCGGCCAATGCAGAGAGTTGGAGGTTAAATTTGTCTAATGATATGGTTAATTACACACAAACTGTCTGTAAGCACATTTTAGACGAGCTTGGCTACAAAGCAGTCAACTCCCCTGAGGATCTGAAAAACATGTCACTCTCGCTCACTGAGGACAAAACCTTAATACCTTTTTTGTAATATAAGGTAAAGCATGCAAAACAACATTTTTCTACATTTATATTCATGGCATCATGTAAATGAAGCTTTGTAGAAATGATTTTTATACCTTGGAGATCTCTGTAGTTTTTGTTATGTTGTTTGTATTTTTTAAAGTTATTTTTTATAATGCAGAAGAGTGATCATTATTTAGTCAAAAGGTTTTAATTTTTCATTGATTCGGTGTGTATACTGTAGATTTGTATTTAGTGTCCAAAGACAAATGTTTGGCTCAATTTATATGATTCTTTGCTGTTGTTAAATTCTAAATTAATAAAAAGACAAAGCAAATCCACTTTTTTAAAACTTTTTTATTGATTACATGGCTTCCTGCTATGATTATTTTGTCATTCGCTCTTAAAGGGGTCATATGATGCGATTTCAAGTTTTCCTTTCTCTTTGGAGTGTTACAAGCTGATTGTGAATAGATAAGATCCCTAAAGTTGCAAAGACTAAAGTCTTAAACCCAAAGAGATATTCTATTTAAAAGTTAATGTCTACGTCACTGTGTGGGAAGATCTGCATAACACCACCCAAATGTTTACGCAAAGAAAGAAGGCGTAACTTTGTTTCTCGCTGTAGTATTGTTGCCGCCGGTGCCGCCATGTCGTGGAGACACTGCGTTTCGTTGTGAAAGCGAAACTACTTTGTTTGGTCTTCCAAAAGAGGACACAACTAGTAATCAGTGGTTAAGTTGTATTTACAACACTGTTGCAGAAGAGTTCAACCCAAATATTTGTGTGTGTGCATGTGCAACACATTTTACAGAGGACTGTTTCCTGAACCTGAGAGAGTAGCCTACGATGTTTTGACTCACAGCCTGTAAGTATGTTTTCATATTTAAAGAATTTTCCACTGATGATTCAAACGCGAGTTTTGAGCAGTGTAGAGTAG